ATAGCTGGCGTGTGCCAAAGCATTATACCAAAAGCTGACATTCAAGTCGCTTGCAGCATTTGTCACAGCTATCGACTATTGGGTTACAAAGGTTGTCACTGCCGTGGCTCGACACTTACGATCTCGTAAACATATAGCTAGCGTGTGTCAAAGCATTATACCAATAGCTGACATTCAAGTCGCTTGCAGCATTTGTCACAGCTATCGACTATTGGGGTATAAAGGTTGTCACTGCCGTGGCTCGTTGCATATGATCTCTTGAACATATAGCTGGCGTGTGTCAAAGCATTATACCAATAGCTGACATTCAAGTCGCTTGCAGCATTTGTCACAGCTATCGACTATTCGGGTACAAAGGTTGTCACTGCCGTGGCACGACACTTACGATCTCGTGGACATATAGCTGGCGTGTGTCAAAGCATTATACCAATAGCTGACATTCAAGTCGCTTGCAGCATTTGTCACAGCTATCGACTATTGGGGTACAAAGGTTGTCACTGCCGTGGCTCGACACTTACGATCTCGTGAACATATAGCTGGCGTCTGTCAAAGCAATATACCAATAGCTATGCCAGTTACTTCATTTTACTGACTTCCTTTGCAACTGTGAAGATTTTTATTTAACTGATGTACGGCTTACGAATTATGTAAACAAAATTACACTAAAAAGATTAATTGCTTTGTGTTACTTAGCATACTAACTTAAGGATAAAACTTAAGGTTGTTGAACTTACCACTTCACGCATGTTGCACAATCAAAGTCGATATCAAAATGTTGAGGATAAACCCCGGTATAAATATTTGCGAAAGTTGACCCGGTCAGACGGAATAACTATCAACTAACAGGTTTGGAAGGATTTGCAAATGCATTTCACAATAATAACATAGTTTTAAAGATAGTAAAATATGTATCGGTTGAAATCATAAATATTCTTCACTGATAGAGATGTTATCACTTGGAATAGTTTTAGAATCATCTTACTTCTTACTTACTTCTTACTTATAAAAGAGAATGTTTGAACATTGTTGGACAGATGTTTGTAAAAGATATCTCCATGACGACTTAATAAATCTCGCTGAAATTAGGCATATACGTAGAACATAGTCTGGAAGAACACATAGGCCACTGATTAAGTAATTTTAATGCCATGCGAACGGAGTCGCGGACGAAAGCTAGTTGTTTATAAGGGAGACTAGGAAAACGGCATAACAATAATGTTGTAATTGTTTAATATTTCGTAAGATATTATCCAAAACTAATTATAAAATCCGATCGCACGGACGTCACTAACTAGTTTCAGACCCGTAGGAGGTCCTACTACTGTTAAGGGCATTTAAAACATACTTAAATAAAAAAAAATTAACTAACTTGAATAACAAAAAACTTTACAATGACGTTATACCATGCTTTTATTGATGTTTTTTTTCTAACACTTTACATATAGGACAAAGGAGGTGAATCACTTCAGGTAGAAAGTGTTGGCTAATTGCAGTGAGTCATACCGTCAGTGGAATGTCAGCGGCAGGTGACCTGCTTACGAATAGGATCCACAAGACTAAGATTTCCAATACTTTAATTGATTTTTATGGTGTTACGATCTTTTACCAGCGATTTCGCGTGGAATTTTAAAAAAACAAAAGTAGCCTATGTGATCTTCTATTATTCTCAAGATATACCTTCATCGAGGAGATGTCTTCAGCCGTTTAGGCAGATTCAACATCCATCTAAACTTTGAAATCTTTTTAATATTATAAATGCGAAAGTTTAGATGGATGTTTGTTAGAGTTTTTAGCCTTTATTGCTGACCGGATCTCGATGAAATTTGGCATAGATGTAGAGGATAGTCTGGAAGAACACATAAGCTAATTATTTTTTTAATTTACAGAGTACTTTTATACAGAGTCGCGGGCGAAATCTAGATTAATATTCCAAAATTCTTAACTAGTAAGATATTGAATCCTTTTTTTAGGCAATTTGCACAGATATTCTTCTAGTCTTTTGTGGTAATACGCAATTCAATTTTATCAGAAGTCTTTTAACCGCAAGTCACCAACCCTGCTATCAGCAAGGTCATGTCCAAGCAATTGACGTCCTTGAAAGCATTTAACTGATACTTTATAACCATCCTTTTTTGAACGAGGTCTAATTTTGTGCAACCTAACTCCTTGCAGTGGACTCTGCGTAGAGTTCAAAAAACAATAGTGAGTAGTCTATGTGTTCCTCTAGACTATCCTCTACATCTATACCAAATTTCATTAAAATCCGTTTAGCCGTTTAGGCTGCAAACTCTAACAAACATCCATCTAAACTTTCGCATTTATAATATTAGTAAGATGATTATGTATAACAGAAAGGTAATAATATCTTCTTTGTTTATATTTAAATCACGTAAAATACAGTCAGAAGTATTTGTACGTGTTTATATGTAAAAATGAAATATTTGATTCATATGTTGGTTGCAACCAATACCATTTCTTAGTTTTATTACACGAAAGCGCGAATAACTCAGTGACAAGTAGCGAAACATCGGGTAATAGATTCGATCCAATCAGTGTATTTTCTTCAATATTTCAACCATCAACTAAATCATTACTAATATTATAAAGAGAAATGATTTGTATTTTAGTATGTTCCCGTGCGACTTCATCCTTATGAAATTATGAAAAATTTATTTTATTGTTTACTAATGTCAAAATATCAATAACAAATGTCAAAATGACATGACATGATGACAACCTTGCTTCCTTGATGTTGGCAGCAACTTATGGTCACTTTCCCACATTATGGTTTTTATCCAAAATATTTACCCCCTAAGCTAATGGCGTTAAAATATATAACCTATAGCGTGTCGCAAGTGTATGGTTTTTTATTAAAAAAAAGAATACATCAAAAATATGATGTAATTGATATCTTAGGCAAAAACGAAGTGTGTTTACGCTTTATTATAATAGTCTAGATTAAAATAACTCAAAACCTACTGGGACGATTTAAAAAATTCTTTCACGATTAAAAAGCTACGTTATCAGCGAGTAACATAGGCTATGTTTTTTTTTTAATTCCACGCGGACTAGATATATTAAACTAACTTTCACCCGCGACTCCATCCGTTTGCAATTAAAAAAAGCCTATGTAATATTAAATACAACGCAATAACAAATTATGCACTTAAGAGGTAAACATTAGAGCGCATTTTGCGGTCTGCGGTTTCAACATTTTTGATAACTTATCTAGGTAACCCACGCAATACCAACATAACATTGAAAATTGGAAACTTGCGTTTGATACACTTATAGATGTAATTTACAATTAATTAGAAAACCGTTATATTATTGAGTAAAAATTAATATATAAAGAAAATTGGCAAAGACCTTATAATATACTAGACCCGCCCCGACTTTACTGGTTCAATGTGTTTAAATAGATTTAGGAACCTTTAAAATTATCAGTATTTACCTTCTATCTTATACCTGTACTAGCTGTTCCCGTGTGGCTTCATCCGCATGAAATTATGAAAATTTTATTTCAGTGTTTACAATTATCAATAGCAAATGTCAAACTGACATGACAAACCGTGACAATCTTGCTTTCTTGATGTTGGCAGCAACTTATGGTCTCTCTCCCACATTAGGGATTTTATTCAAAATATTAACCCCCTAAGTTTATTGGTGTGAAAATATATAGCCTAAAGCGTGACGTAAGTGTAGGGATTTTTATTAAAAATATGCTGTAATTGCTGACATCTTAGGCAACAAAGAAGTGTGTGTTTACGCTTTATTATAATAGTATAGATTATTTAAATCACCCTCTTGAATCATTCTTTTAAAAACTGCATCAAAGTCCATTGCGTAGTTTTAACGATGTAAGCATACATAGGGTCAGACAGACAGCGGGAAGCGACTTTGTTAAATACTTTGTAGTGACTATATAAAAGTTTCACTGTATTCTAGTTTGACAATAAAAATTACGTTAAAAATAGCGATATTAATCTATCCCTTTACGTGGAAATGCTCAATTAAAACTTATTAGTTAATCTGTCCCTTTCATTTCCTTTGATAAAAAGAGAGATGGTTTTAACATTGCAAAAGGGCAGCTCTTGAATTTCATGTCTCGTGATTTTTAAAGTGTTGTAATAAATGCATCAAAGATGATCGAAATATGCTATCAATGTAGACATTATTGAAGGAATAATATAGTAAAAGTGAAAGGTCTTGATTAGTTGACGTAGTGATACAAGATTTTATTTTTAATCTGTTATTTACGACCAAGCTTTTTTGTTACTCATATGCAAGAGAAAGCCAGAATTGGTTTCTGAGTTATTCATCTGTTTCTACTCCATGTTAGTTATAATGTAACTCAATGTCTTTATTAATTCGTATTAAAATAAAATATCTTAATCTATGACGATAAAAAAATCCACGTTGCGAATTCATTCCATACTCCAGCACGTTCAGAAATAAAAAAAACAAACTTACAAGGTAAAGTATGTGCTGGGACTATGTCCAAAAGGTCCAAAATCGTTCAAGCAACACTTTCCAAGTCACCAACACGGAACATATGTTATTAATTTTTTAATTTAAAATAAAATCAATTCACTTGTACACAATACCGCGAACGGTTTGCAACTGAATGAATTGACCATTTAGAACATTGACAGCCATATTAAATTGAAACGGTCCTTGTTATTGATTTACAATTAAATTGCAACCTTATTACAATACCACAAAGTTGAAATTAACTGCACAATTAGTTACAAGAACTCTGTCAAATTAAGACCAACTTATTGAGGTCAGTGACGTCTTTTTTCTGTGGTCGTGATAAACTGAACTGATTTCGCGGAAGCGAGAGAGTTTAATTGATTACTTTAGAGGTAAGAAAGAGATGCATGTACAATAGACGTTGTCTGTGGTTAGGCTCATTTGCCGCCAATTTCTAACAATTGTTGACAATTAGAGAAGTTTGATAATTTAGTGAAAGTACTTAAGAGTAACAAATGCAAAACTTTACTATTATTGTTTATTTTAAGTTGTTGCTATGCAAATTGTGATGTTTTCTCAGAACAAAAGTAATATAATACTAGCTTAGTATTTTTTTATCTATAAACGAATTAAGTATTATTATTCCATTTAGTCTTAGTCCTTAACCTGTTTACGAAATTAACTGCGTCCGGTTCTACACTAACAACGGAGAAACATCTTATATTTCATACTGGTTTCTTTATTTACTTTCAATAATGAAATTTTAATACGCCTACTAAAATATCATAGCAATATTACATAAATGTTTTTTGCACTAAAGTTGACATTGAATCCAGTTGACTTCTTAAATCCAAATAAAATAATTTTTAAACAACTTATAACTAGAATTTAACTATTCGAGGAATACATAATATGTTTTTTTAATTCTTAGGTTATATTTTCCGTAATCTACCATATAAAGGCGCAATATTATTAAATTTTTGAAGGACCATTATAGTTAATATCTTGATTTTTCACATATATTTCTTGTTTTTGCTTATCACATAACGATGGTATCTACAGAATATCGTGGCATGTGATTGTATTGTATGTAAATGTTTGAGGTCATTTTATCGTTTAAAGTTTTATCTTGTATTTACGTCTCAAGCATACGATAATTCATAGAAACCATCGATTCACTGTACATTGGCCAGTTTAACAATATGTATCTAATTTAAGCGATTCTCTTGTCATCTTCTTTAGTCTTCTTAGTAGATTTAGTCTTGATAAAGATTTTCGCAGTGGTAGGTGGAGGTACTCCAGGTGTCAAAGGCTCAGTCGGATGTACTGGATCTATCGGCGGCAGCAAGTTCGTCGGCGGTTGGAATACGGTCGCCTGACATGATTGCTCTAAAAGTAAGACGACCTTTTAAAAATTTTGTGGACAATATGTAAGTTTATTTTCTAGGATATTTATATGTAGGGGCTTGTTTTGTTTTTAAATTTTATATCGATTATCCAACAGTATAGTTCAATTATGTATTGTTGTTAATATTTAAGTATTGTACTTATAAAATTCTTCAATATGTTATTATATTAAAATTAAAACAATAAAAAAACCTTACGCGGCACATTCCTTGTAATGGCAGCTTTACGATTCATTTCTAAACAATAATTTTGATAATAATGAATTATAAAACACTCAAATCGAACATAACGTCAGAAAAATTACCGCGAAACTGTTTGTGCTATCGTAAGTGTTGGGTTAATATACTAGCTACAGTATCGGGTGCGACCATAGTGGTAAGATACATTATTTTAATCTTTATGCGAATTACAATTTACGTTCTACAAACAGTATGCAGTCCCGTCTTCTGTATAAACGATTTCCTTCTATCCAGAGAATAAGAAACAATAAATTGATTATGAATAAGACAAAAAATATAAAATCAATTTAAAATAGGACAATACGCTTTCGCTGGCGACTCTGTCCGCGTGGAGTTTAAAAGAATAAGTAGCCTATGTATTCTTCCAGACTATCCTCTACATCTATGCCAAATTTCATCAAGACCCATTCAGCAGTTCTACAAACTCTAACAAACATTCAACCATCTAAACTTTCGCATATATAACATTAGTAAGATAGTTAACACTTTGTATTTCAAATAAAGATATCTTAAAGATTAGTTTAATGTTTAAAATGCTGGTATTTATTTCCGCTACCTCTTATGCTTGTTGGCCACACCTTTATACGCTCGGTGAATTACTGCGATAAACAAGTTGCGTGGGATTCCCATTGCACTTGACAGGAATTAAATGAATAAGAATAACAAATGTTTAGTGATTCCCGACGAATTACTTAAAATATTGTATTTTGTAATTACTCAGTTATTGACAAAAATCAGTACAGAGAGTAAAACAAAATAATCTGAATTTTGTATTAGGAAATTCAGTTCCATTTAATAAAGAACGAAAGGTCAGCAATTACAACATATTTTTGAATAATTCTTCCTTTAATAAAAAAAACCCTACACTTACGCTATCAAACATAGGGGGTAAATAAATTGGAAAAACTTTATGTGGGTAAGGGACCATAAACTACAAGCTGCCAACATTAAGGAAGCAAGGTTATTATGGTAGCGGTAATTTTGACATATGCAATTGAGAATTTGACAAACGTAAACAATAAAAGTTTTTATACTTTCATGCGAATGAAGCCGCACGGGAACAGTTAGTTTGAAATATAATTTTGAACAATATAGACCAGTTTACATTTAATTTGTATTTTTAATCTGAAATACAAATAAAAGTGTTTTATTATTCTATTTAGGTTTAACATTTCGCCTGTTATAAGTGACAATTACGAATTTCAACATACTAAACAATTAACAAGACCACTGTTGCATGCTGCTTACCCCACATTGCTTAAAGAGGCGTGAGCGTGTGAAGGTACCGAGTAGACAACTTGCTCACATATTGTCCGGTTAAGTTTGAAGTTTACATCCGGACGGACTGGCCGCAAGATTATGACGCACGGACAAACTTCTGACCACCGGACAAGATGGCGGACAAAGTTTCCCTTTTGTACGGAATCTCTGAAGATGATGGTATTGTTTGTACTTGAATAATTGTTTTCAATTGGAAAGTAAATGGCATTTAATAATTTTAATTCAATATGATTTCATACTTTAAAGTTTTAAGTATACTTTCTACCAATCTACTTATGTCGCCTTTGAGTAAAAACTTTGACTTTAGACAACCTCTTACAATCTGTGTCATCAAGATTAGCCTGGCTTCTTAACAGTAAACGAATTTTTCATATCGTATCAGTTGTTTCGGATCCTATTCAATACAAACAACCAAATATCAGTATCCATATTGTACAGAGCAAAGAGGAAAGATTTTTCGTTTTTGTTTGTTTTTGATTCATGCAAAAACTACTGGGTTGATTTTAAAAATCCTTTCACCATTAGATAGGTAATTTATCTGTGAGTAACATAGGCGATATTTTTCTAAATTCACGTGAACAAAGTCGCGAGAAACAGCTAGTTTATAATATTAGTGTATAAGATATCTATCGACCAAAGCAATTTTCGTTCATTGTGAATTCCTAATGATGAAAATGCAACTAAATTAATACAGCAGTAATGTGGGTTTAATTTTTTTTTAAAAATACGCCACGAATCAAATTATCTAAGAAATTGGATCAAAAGTAAACTCATCAATTCATCACTAGTCTCTTTAAGCAGAAGATTATTCACTTGTAAATAAAATCGAGAAGTTTCTATTTTAAAATGAGAAACCGACTTGGAAAAGGGTGATCTTATATTATGACGTCACGTAGCGAACCAATTTACCAGTCCATTAGTATTGGAGGGCTAGGAAAGGGTGAAAAAAGGCGAACGCCGAAGTAATTCCTTCACAGAATAAGTAAGTATGCAATCGAACTGTCGAGCGGACAATTTACATATTAATTATACGATTGCTTAACTTTGGAATCGAAAGGGATTTTATTTTTACAATTTATTGTATAAGGAAGGGTTTTTTACCCTTGCCTAAGTAACTATGGTGTTTGAAACATAAATTTCTAATCCTCAACATTATAAATACGAAAGTTTATTTGGATGTTTGTTAGAGTTTGTAGCTTAAACTGCTGAACGGATATCAATGAAAGGCATAGATGTAGACGATAGTCTAGAAGAACACATAGGCTACTTACTTTTCTTTGACTTCTACGCGGACGGAGTCGCGGGCGACAACTACTAATATTACAAAGAGGAATATTTGAACGTTTCTTTGCATTGGACAAGCTCCAACACTGTACAGATTTAAAGAATTCTTATATTGTTAAGAAAGCTACGTTATCTTTGAGTAAGATAGGCTATATAACAAACGGGACGTCAACAGAAAGGGTATGGATATGACAGAAAAGATATTCGCGGCTCAGTATATCTGAAGAGGAAAGATATGTATTGAAATAACTAACTCAAAATCTATTGGACAGATTTCAGAAACACTTTCACCATAAGAAAGCTACGTTATCACTGTGGTTGACTATGGCCTAGACACCCTAACTTAGGGTAGGCTCCGAGCCCCTCGGTGGGGACGTGTAGTGACTGGTGAATATGATGATGTTATCACTGAATAACATTGGCTATTTTTTTTTCTAATTTCATGCAGACGAAGTCGCGAGCTACAGCTATCTTTTTATAAACATGCGGCAGCAATTACTATCATATTCAATATCAGTCAACAGGGTAACAGTAACCGGATGTCTTTTTCGGAGTTTCCCGGATATTCGAAAGGTGTAATAGAGCGTAATGCGGCGCGGGTGGGGAGGGGGTGCAATAAAACGGCAACAAAACCACGGATTGTGGATACACTTAGCAAAGGTAATACGAATTCCACACACATTCCGGGAGATAATATTTTTAGAAAGAGAAATTAGAGTCTGACAGAGTGTCGTTTAATGGTGAATAAAAAAACAATTTTAATGGTCTAATCAGGAATAAAAAGGTCTTTATTGTAATAAAGACACAGAGTGGTACATCACTATGTAATGTAGTAGGGAATTAATTCCATATTTCAGCAACATTTCAAAGGGTTTCATATTTCTGACCACTTATAAACATTTTCCTTAAGTCCTCCATTAAATTATAAAAAAATATTAATGAATAAAAACACCGCTGTATATAGTGTGGAAAGGCCTTTATTTTAGAAGGTAGCATTGATAGGAGGCATAAAATCACTGAGTACATTCTGCAATAACGTAAGTTAAATGTACGTAGTGATGTCGACGTGAAACACTCGTAAAATAAGCCCCTACGTGAACGCGATTGATGGCCCCAGTTATTGGTGCAGTGTCAATCCGTTAACGTTGACTTGACGGAAAATTACTAGAAAATCAAAAGATTTAAGATACATCTTAATTCCTACGCTTAATATAATTAGTTTGTTATGATTTTAAAATAACGAGACACTAGTTTAGTTATGTATGTGGAGGGGTACACCGGTAGAGGTAGACCTAGAAAGAGATGAATTGCGTGAAAGGTGACGATCAAGAAGGGAGTGATGACTGAGATGACGGATGATAGAGTTATTTGGAGGACGAAAACTCGGTGCGCCGACCCTACGGGAGTAGAATAAGGCAGGGGTAATGATGATGATCATTTAAAATAATGAGACACTAGATTTTGCCCGCGACAGTATATAACCACAGTGTAGGTAGTGTACGCTTCACTACTCATGTATTGCGCCCAAAAGCGTTCCACAATTATGTTCAGTTTCTTTTTTAATTTCAATCAGTACCATAATGATTAAAGTTTGGGATTTACAGTACAAAATATACTTTAATTTCATTAAAATAAATTCTAATATTGCAGTAAAGAAATTTTATTTGTTTTAATATCTATTTTACCTTTCAATTAGAATATAAAATCAGTCACTCCCCTACACAGGTATTCATTTCGCTTCGATGGTTACTATAAAACAATGCATAGACAATTTGTGACTTTCTTTCCAACAGGGGACGCCGAATTATTAGGTCCATAAAACCGAAGGTCCCCTACATGCCGGGAACTGACCACAGTTTACGGCCAGAAAATGGGGGATGGTAAAATTTTTTACTACTGCCCACCCCTTGCGTAGAATTTTGATAGCGTTCTCTCATCTCTGACGTTAAATGAAAGGGAAAAATGTTTCCTATGAATAATTCAATGAGATATCCGGGTAACTTTGCCAGTATCTGCTAGTATGTTAAGTTACTTTAGTCTCAATTAAAGAGCTAACTATAAAACTGTGTCAAAAATATTACATGCACATGTTTACTGTCTGAATATATTGCTATTTTATTTACACAGGCGTTTAATACTTAAGACAACATTAATTCTTATTAATTAGTAAAACTAGATATAGATCCTGTTGGACGGTTACTTTCCCCCGTCCGGGGCTCTGGAGGTGTGGGGCTATTGAAACACTTTCTTCTAGTTATTCATCATTATATTTAAGATATCTGAACCATATTTTATACAAAGTCTATTAGTCCTACAATGTTACTTGTTCGGTGTCGAGATGTGAAGTCTATCTATATTTCATCAAATGTAGAATTCTTAATAATTTAAATTATATATTATTCTAATATTAAAAAACCATTCTTAGTGTGTAAAGTGTTGCCTGCCAGTATACAAACATATAAAAACTCCAACAGATAAATATTTAGTTGAACAT